CTTTTCATAACATTTATTCTGGCTTTCGTTTTTCCTAAGAGATATTGTAGGTGTGTGGACGAGTCGCTCTGTGAGTTGAAGAATACTCCTAAACATTTGTGTGAAGTAACCCACTCAATTCTCTTATCTTCTATATAAAGCCACTGGTTATCTAAACTGTGTCCTGTTTGTAGAGCTCTGGTCTTATTTGAGTTGATCATAAGTCCAAGAAATTGGCATTTTTTTCTTAGTGGTCAAGAGCCATCTGTGAATGGACATATCTGTTTCTTCCTATGGCAATTAATTGCAAATCATCCGCATACGCAAGCAGGTGAGTGTTCGCTGGTAAAGGAATCGATATTAATTCAGATATGAGCATATTAAAAAGAAAAGGGCTGAGTATTCCTCCTTGAGGTGTACCATTTTCAAATGTGAGGATATCAGATAGAGTGCCCTGAAATCTGACCTGGGCTTTTCTGCTTGTGAGGTAGTCTGATGTCCATCTGAGGATATTTCCTGTCACTTTTTTTGAAGCCAGAATATTTAAAATGACTGTTCCATTTGCCAACTCAAAGGCTTTCTCTATGTCCAAAAAGGTGACAACACTATCGTTACCGTCTATTAAGGCATAAATAGATGCTAAATTGTCTTTGGTACTCAGTCCTTTTGTGTAAGCAAAAATATTCGGATGCGGATGAGTATTAAATAATTTAATCTTGCTAGGATGGCTCTTTCCATAGTTTTGCCTATGCAGGATATTAGAGAGATGGGCGGAATGATCTGTTCGGTCCTTCTTTGGGAATTGCTGAAATATGGCAGTTTTCCAATTTGTGGGAAGACAGCCACTTTTTTTTATTAAAAAGTAGCTGTAACATCTTCAGAGCTTTCGTACCGAGATGATTCAGCATTGAATAGGACACTTTATCCGATCCGGGAGCAGTATCAGCACTGGTTTTAAGAGCTCTTTTCACTTCATTTAGGGTGAAAGGATTGTCAGACTCAGCAGATACCTGAAAAGCCTGACAAATTACCTCATTTCTTC